TGATGCACTAGGCATATCCATAGTCACAGCGACCTATTGTTCCGTGTTCGAAACGGTGCCATAGGCCTCGGGACTTTGAACCAGAGTAAAAGCCGTCACAATTGGATAAATTTCTAATATAGGATTGTGTGACAACGAAGCAAAACCACCATATGTGGGATTCTGTGCTTGATTGGCCCCGCATCGACAACGGAGTTAATTAAGCGGATTCCGACTGTATACCGACAATCAATGACAAACACATGGGTCTTTGGACTCAACGATTTACTATCTTTAGTTTTGACTAGGCGAAACATGTGTACCATTATTGTGAACATAACGCCCTACTCCAGAATGAAATAACTAGCGTGCAGTGGAGACGCCTGATGACGAATCAAAATTAGTGTTTTTCGTCTTCTGATTTGACTTTGGAAAATAGGTCAATGGTTTACCAAACGTGCCAATGAAAATTTCGCCGAGTAGAATATTCTTCTGCTTTAGTGTTCGTATTTGAAGACTTGTTTAGGTGAGATCTGACTCTTGATCTCCATTTCCACCCGGGATTGCTTGTTTAGTGGACACAAACCCGCATCATTCATGGATGGACACCAACTTAGTTGCCGTTCTCTTCATTCGTAACTAGACGGCACGATAGCATAGTGCTCATGGATACACCACCTTTTTAAAGAAAGCCTTGTATAGTTTGTCGTTAGGTTTGCACGATGAAACTTGTGTACCAGGGTTGCGTATTGGTCCTTCCTGACCATATGGTTTACATTTGATTCATATAATATCTAAGTCTAACGAACACGGTTAAGTCCCATTGTCACAAAACCTGTTCGGTTACAGAAACCAGTAACTTCGACTGAAGCTGAGTGGTAAACCGAATGAGGCTGTAATAAGATAGGTTGTTGGGATGAATCACTGACTTGTTTGCATTCTACGGTTTCTGAAAATCTGGCTTCTTTCATTACGGATTGAAAGAAAATTTAAACATCTTTTTCAGAAATAACCATTTACAAAGATTGCTATGTCGTACAGTTTGAGTCCGACCTGGAAGCAGCTGGCGCTGTGCAGTGCGAAAACGGTGCTAATTTCTTTGGTACTCCTGTTTGCGTGAAGCACGCTGAGCCTGGTATTTTGAGCGCTTTGCGGCGTACCGGACATCCTATCAACCGTTTCAGCTCAAGTAAACGTCGTACTGCCCCATCACTGGGTTCTAGAGATCGCAACCGAGATCGCGATATGGATCGTGATCGTGACCGAGATCGCGATCGTGAACGAAATCGACTTCGTGATCGGGAGCGAGGTCGGACAAGAGAACCAGATTCACCTTCTCGCAGTCGGTATCACGAGGATAGTCCTTATGACCGCCGTAGACGACATGACGACCGATCACCTCGTCGCAGATCTCGAAGCCCCGCGTAAGTTATTGA